CTTGTAGCTCCTTTGGGAACCAGACAGGAAGACTGGCAGGACAGGGATGCTTGTACACCCTGGAGGGGCGCCTGGTGTTTCCAGGCAGCTTTAACTTCTGTCCCATCCACGATGACATCTGTCCCAAGCACTACTGCAGGACTGTATTATTGCATTCCATTTATTATGTTGTTGGTACAGTTCACCCTGACTCTGGCCCTGGAGGGAAGGCACTGACTGTGCAGAGAACATTCTGGTTGCTTGGGGTGCAGGAATGGAGGGGGACCAAGCGGTCTGTGCAAGCATCTCTGTCGTGCCAAATTTCCTGTCTTACAATGTCAAAGCAGAAATGAAGTTCATGACAGTTTTAGGAGCTGGGTAAGCCGTCCAGCCTGGCAACACTTTTTATTTCTTCTGTTGAACACTGGTGTGCGTCCTTTGGGAGCTGGCCTTGTGAGTCTTTACCCATTTGCCTGTTGGCTGGGTTTTGGGCTGTGATGGTACCCCCCCACCCCCCAATCAGACACACTTCACCTCAGTCCTCTTCTTTGGACTTTCCCACGCCTCTGAGCCTCCAGTCTTACAAGCCTCATGGGAAGCTCCAGGCTCCCTGTGCTGTGTTTAGTACCATGCTGGCCCCTCCCCCAGTTCCTACCTCAAGGAAAATGAACGATTTCTTTTTTTAAATCCCTTGGGAGATGTGGGGACTCAGCCCGAGAGATGGGGAGGAAGAAGGTTATACTTACAATGATGATACTTATGCTAATTCTAGCACTTTCATTAATGGTGTGAGAAACCTCAGGTTCATGGTTGCTTATCCAAAATTCCCCAAATATAACAGGCGCGGTGGTGCACGTGTGTAATCCCAGCAATCACGAGGCTAACATAGGAGGGTAGAAAGTTTCAGGCCATTGGGAGGCTGAGACAGAAGGATTGCTGTCACTTCAAGGCCAGCCTGGGTTACAGAGTGGTGCCCAAGCGAGGCCCAGGACAGCCTCACTCTGTAGAGTGAGGCCTTGTCTAAAAACAAAACAAAACAAAACACAAAACAACAAAACAACAAAAAACAAAACGAAACAAAAAACCAGAAAGGGTGGGAGACGGCTGAGTTGGAAAGTGCGACTCAATCCCGAATCCGTATTTTAGAAATGCCAGCTGTGGGGCCTGGAGAGATGGCTCAGCAGTTAAGAACACTGGTTGTTCTTGCAGAAGACCCGGGTTCGAATCCCAGCACCCACATGGCAGCTAACAACTGTCCGTAACTCCAGTCCCAGGGGATCCGACAGCCTCTTCTGTCCTCCCCAGGCATTGTACGACACAGGTGCACTTACCTACACACAGGCAATACACGCATACACATAAAATAAAAATAATAAATCAAATATTTTTTTAAAAAATGCCAGGTATGGTGACAGGTATTTATTTGTTTATTTTTATATTTTATTTATTTTATTTTTATCTTATGTGTATGAGTGTATTGCCTGCAGGTATGTAAGTGCACCTGTGTTGTGTAATGCCCTCGGAAGTCAGACTAAGGCATTGAATCCCATGGAATTGGAGTTATAGACAGTTGTCAGCTGCCCTGTGGGTGCTGGGAACCAAACCCAGGTCCTCTGCAAGAGCAGCCAGGGCTCTTAACCACTGAGCCATCTCTCCAGCTCAGTGACAGGTATTTATGATCCAGGTGCTGGGGACGTGGAGACAGGTGGGTACTGGGGCTTGCTGACCAGCTAGCCTAGCCGATGTGGCTAGTTCCAGGCAAGTAAGAGTCCCTGTCTCATAAAGAAAAGGTGAAGTCAGGCGTGGTGGCACATGTCTTTAACTCCAGCACTCAGGAGGACAAGAAGATCTCTGTGAGATTGAGGTCAGCCTCATTGACATAATGAGTTTCAGGCCAGCTGGGGCTACAGGGAGACACTGTATCACCCCCCGAAAAACAAAACAAAAAAACAAAAAACAAAAGATAAAGAAAAGAGAGGGGAGCCAGATAGATGGTCAGTGGTTAAGAGCACTGGCTGCTCTTGCAGAGGACCCAGGTTTGGTTCCCAGCACCCACATGTGGCTAAGAAACATCCTTAACTCCAGTTCCAGGGGATCTGAAAGCCTCTTCTGGCCTTCATGTGCATTGCGGGACATGGGTGCACTTATATACATGCAGGCAAAACACTCCTGCACATGAAATAAAAATAAATCAAAAAGAGAAGCTGGACGGCATCTAAGGAAATAACACTTCAGTTATCCTCTGGTCCCCACACCTGTGGTCACGCATGGATGTGCACCTGCACACACATGAACACACACATAAAAAAGCAGAAGGAGGGAGGGATGGAGGGAGAGAGAATAAATTATAAATTAGTCAGTTAGTTCTAGGCTAGCCTAGGCTACATAGTGGTATCCTGTCGAAAACAAAACAAAACAACAAAACAGAGTGGGTGAGATGGCTCAGTGGATAAAAGTGTTTGCTTCCAAGCCTGATAACCTGAGTTTGATCTCTGGGACCCACGTGGTAAAGGAGAGAACCAACTTCTGCAAGTTTTCCTCTGACTTCTTCATAAAAACTGTGGCATGCATGCACTGGTGTGCATACACACCACACGCACACACATACATACACACACACGATAAATAAATGTAAGTTTTAAAAAAGAACAAGCAAGGGGCTGGAGAGATGGCTAAGAGGTTAAGAGCACTGACTGCTCTAGCAGAGGACCTGGGTTTGATTCCCAGCACCCACATAGCGCTATGAACTGTCCATAGCTTCAGTTTCAGGGGAATCTGACACCCTCTTCTGACCTCCGAGGCTTTAGGCAATATAGTCATACACATAAAATAAAAATAAAATATTTTTTAAAAAAGAACAAGCAAAAAGCTGATTCCAAATCTCTTAAACATAAAAGATCTGAAAACTTGGTTTTCCCCTAATTTTGGTGTAGACTTGACAGAACTGTCCTGAACTGCCCTGAGGATGTGTGGTCTTTCTTTATCCTCCTGAGAACAGCTGAATGTTTAGGGCTGCTGCAAGCCCCTACATGAGCTGATCTCTGGGACATTTGTGTCTTACTCTGAACACATCTGGCCCAGTTACTTCCAGATTAGAGACTCCAACTTGGCTTTGTCCATAAGGAACCAAGCCCTGTGGCTGGCATGACCATGCTGGTTCAGGGTAAAACATGGCACCAGGACGCAGGACCTCCTGCTAGAATGAACCAGCTGCACAGAGGTGCCCGTCATCATCTCACACATGCCTAGAACTTTGCACTGTTTGGGGCCCCCTAGTTGGCATCTGAGAATTTTGTTTGAGAGCTGCCTTTCACATCTTCATCACCAAAGCCGTTTAAGCCTCCCGCATCTTTTCCTCTTCGGAGCCGCATGCCCAGCTCTGTGAATCCTCTGTTGGGTCGTGTCTTGCCAAGCCTTCTCAGCAGGACCGTGACAAACTCTCCTGAGTTTAGGGAATTCACAGTTCACAAGACTTCTGAGACTCCACCATCCGGTCAGCTGCCCAGGAGGGGTATAAGGTGTGGGTTAAGTCGGTCTTAGGCTACTGTTCGCTGCTCTTCCTGTCATCTCTGTTGCAAAGGTTGTTAGGGACAGAGTGACAGGGGAAGTGGGTCCCTGTGCTGGGCGGAAGCTTCATGTTACAGGAATGAGGAGGAGCTTATCACTGGGTTTTCCTGTATTGATAAGCCGCCCAGAACGTGAGTTTCGCCAAGCCTCAGATCCATGCCAAAGAACATGAACCCATCCTTGGGGCTACTAGGCCAGAGCAGGTCACATCTCTGGTGGGGAGAAGTCTCCTTACTCTCACCAAGCTTTCTTGAGTGCTCCCCTGGGCACTGGAAGGCTGGGCAATGTCTCTTCTTCTCACGGTGGGGGGGGTGGCACTTGGATTTGAGGTTTCTGAAGAAGCCAGTGGGAACCCACAGGCTGCTCTCTGCCCCAGAGCCCGCCTCCTTCCCCTTCCATCCCTGCCCATTCTGGGATCTACCCAGTGCTGACCTACGCCCAGCCTTTGGGGAAGATGGTGGCTGTGCCAGGTAGGGACTTGGCTTGTACCCTCCTCCTTGCTCCTTTCGATTCTCAGCCCGTCCACAGCAGGAATAGGGAAGCCTGCTTATTTTGCCTGGAACATCTCAAATCAGTGTCCCTATTTGTATATCTCCTGCTCAGAGAGAGAAAGGAGAGAGCGGGTGAGACCCCCTGATGACTGACGTCTAAACAAAGAGAACAGGGCAAGACCCAGATCAGAGGGCGGCCCTCACCAGGGCCGCTTCATGTCTGTCCAAATCCTCTCTCTTTAGTGTGAGATAAGACTCAGGAGCAAAGCCCTCTCAGTGTTTGCGGTCAGAGACTTGGAGGGGCGGCTTTGGAGAAGTCTGGGCACTGATTGCCACGGGAGGAGACTCACGAAGGCTGTGTGAGAAATGTCCACAGTGAGCTTCCTGGCAGAGGCCGAGCAAACACGCAGCCCAGCACCACAGTCCAGGGCTTTGCTGAAGGACCTGAACCTTTCAGGCAGGGGCTGTCTGCTGATCTCTGCTTCACCGGGGTCTTTAGATGGGCCATCCCCTTCCAAAAGCCCAGGTGGATACAAACCCATGTGTGTGTACACACACAACCTGCCAGTCTGTAACAGAGGGCTCACAGATGCCCCTAAACCTGCGTACGGTCCCTGGATCCCAGGTGGAGTCCTGATGGGTGGTGTGTCTAAGGTCACTTTTGGAATGTGGGGTTGCCCACAGCAGATGCCTGAGCTCTGGAAGCCAGTTCCCCTACCACCAAATGACTTAACGGGTCTCAGTCTTTTTAGGATCCCCACCCTGTGTGGGGCAGCATTGTCCTGGGCTCCCAGCCACCTCCACATCTGGAGGAACCTGTAGACACACAGAAGCATCTATCCCCGTCCCCACAAGCTTGGGTTAGCGCCCCAGGGTGACTAGAAGATGGGAGGGCCAGCCAGCCAGCCAGCCAGCCGGGCACACACACAGTTAATCCTCGGAGGCTGCTGTTTGGAGAAAATGCGCTAGGAGCGTTCTAGGCTCCTCGGCAGCTCACATCTGGCTGGGGTTTGCTCTTTACGTATTTGTCCCGCTTTCTTCCTCTCTTCCTTTACTTTCAAGAGAAACCACGTTTCCGCTTCTGACCAAGGAGACCTTGGAGACGGCTGAGGAGATAAAGGTGCTGGGAAGGGACTACTGTGCCTGCACCTCCCTCCCCCTCAAGCCTGGGGGGGGACGGGACTTTTTACCCCTGTGCTCTCTGCTCTGACACGTATGTGCTTCCCCTCTGACCTAGCCCGGAGGAGGCTCAGCCCCCGGGAGATGCTCTAAGAGACTGCAGGAGAGCCCTGAGAGGCGCGGGAGGATTCAGCTGACACAGCTGGCTCAGCTGGAAGGAGGTAGGTGGCGGTCAGGGAACAGAACTGGAAGGTTCCAGGTTCATCTTCGTGGCTTCATGTAGTTGCTGGAGCAGGGCTGAACAGAAACCTTTGGGGGGGGGAGGGGAGGGGCCAGGTTGACAGGGCAAAGGGGTAGAGAGAGTAGAGATTTGGGGGACAGCATTGTGCTGCTTGCTCTTCCTAAGTGCCCCTGCACAGACCAGTTCTGCAGAGGCAGGACTGGGCTCCCTCTGGTCTCACAGGAGGCAGGGATGCTGTTAGAGCTGATGTACTTTCTCCCACCGTTTCACCGACTGTTTATCGAGCTCGTTCTTTCCCTGGCTCTTTTCTGAGGGGTTAGAAAGAGAAAGAACCTGCCATGTCCACCTTTGTACCTGGCACCCCCTCCATTCCTGCAATGTCAAATCTATCAAACCTGAGACCCAGGTTTGTCCCATGCTGTCTTGTCAACTTGAGCCCCAACATGGGACAGGAAGTGTGGACTTTGGCCCCCTCTTCTAACAGCCTTACTGTTCCTGGAGGGCATCCAGCCTGGGCAGGAAAAAACAAATATCCCTCCCTCGGGGACCTTCCTGGGAAGAAAAGCTGCCTGTGGTGCTAAGGACAGCCCTGAGCTAGTACTGCAGTCTTTGAGCCACCCCGGGGCCTTTGCACAGTTCACATCCGCCCACTGGTTACTGCTCAGTTGCTCGGGCACCTCTGCTGGTGTAGATGTGGCCCCCCCCTGTTAATCTGAGTTCCACCCTGTCTATTCCTGGGTCCACCCAGGCTGCTCCCAGCCCCAGAGAGCTGTGCTCCTCTGGGGACCCTCTTCAGGACTCTTTTTCCATGACTCTCAGCAGCCCTGACCTGTCCTTGTTTCTCAGAAGGACAAGGGGCCTGCCTCTCTGTGATACCTTTCTGTTTCTGACTTGCTTTGGTTTCTAGGAGTGGAGGCCACAGGGCATGCTTTTCCAGGCTTTGAGGGCTGCTGGTGGGGTTCAGCAGTAGACCCCTTGCCTAGTGCGTGAAAGCCCTGGGCTCCAGCCCCAGTACTGGAAAAGAAAAACAAACAAAAAGCCCGCCACATAACACCAATAGCAACATAGCAACTTCAATTTGTACTGAGTGTGATGGTTCAAGCCTATAATCCCAGCACTTGGAAGACTGAGGCAGGAAGACAGCTGTGAGTTTGAGGCCAGCCTGAGTGAGTTTATGAGTTCCAAGTAAGTTTGGGCTACAGTGTGATACTGTTTCAAAAGAAAAAGAGAAATATCTTTGGAACCTACTTCTTGGATCCCTAGGGAGTGAATGACGTCCTTAGAGTCTGCCTGGACTCTGCTTTTTATAGTGTAGTGACTGTGCACCGACTACAAAGGGTGCAATGTGAGGAGGGGTGTGTGGTCTCCATCAGGACTGAGCAGGTGTCCCCACTCATTGGAGAGGAGGGAAACCTGCGAGGGAGGCTGAGGGCTAAGATCAGGGCTAAGATGCATGGAGCATCCCAGCTAACCTGTCCTCATTCCCCAAGACTTTGCTGGAATACTCCACCCAGGCTGGACACATTGAGCTTCTCAACTGCCCCCTTCTCTGCAGGAGAAACAGCAGGTCTGCTTCCTAGAAACTCTGGCCTCTTCCTCCTCCCCCTCCTCCCCCCCTCCTCTCTCTCTCTCTCTCTCTCTCTCTCTCTCTCTCTCTCTCTCTCTCCTGTGAAGTCAAGAGAGGCACTCCTGAAAAGTCACAGAGAACAGACTGATCCAAGAGGCCTGAGGCGGGCCGACCAGCAAGGGGTGCAATACACACGCTGTCTCGGAAGGGCCCGGGCAGCTCCCTGCTCATTCCCAGCCATAACCTCCCTGTTCAGGACAACCAGCACAGCATTAATTTTCTTCTGAACACGCTCCTTTCTGTTGTTCTTCCTGGTGCCCCGCCCCCCCACAACCCGCTGTAATTAGCATGACTCATAAAACAAATATTCTGGCATTGAAATTCATCCATCAAAACAAAGATGAAAAGAATTTCGTAGAAACTATCATTGGTGCCTCTGGGCACCCTCACCAGACACCAACTCCTGGGGTCAGGCCCTTTTGTGGGTCATAGTTCCTGAGGCTGGGGGTGGCCAAGGTTCTAGGGCTTTGGGAGGGGAGGGTGAAAGGGCAGGAAGATGTTCTCTGCAGGCCACTGTTTCTGACTGCCCGAGATCCACTGAGTCTGACCACCACCTCTCCAGAAGGAAAGGGCTGTTTGGGAAGCAGCCTGGGCTTTGGCCTTGAAGGCCCCAGAGATACTGGCATGTGCGTGCTGCCTCCTGAGGGCTGTTTTCTCCAGTTTTACTCACTGAAAATCTGCCTTCCGCTAATGTCAAATGACAAACGGCAGCTGTCTGAACAGGACCTTGCCACCTCCCTGACCCATTTACAAGGTGTGAGAGATGTTCTGTCCGTTCCAAATAGCAGTTTGCCAAAAGCACATGAGAAGCCATGTGTCTGCTGGTGTTCTGGCCCAGGGTCCCAGGACCCTGCCCTGGGTCCTTGTTCTGGCAGAGCCTTGGGTTTCTCCTTCCTCTGAAAGCAGGAAGGGACATGCAGAATCCCTGTCTTGGGGGAGGAGCAGCCTTAGAGCAGGGTGGGACCTCTAAGCCTGGGAGGGTGCTGTATCTCTAGGCCCTAGTTAAGTGGCAACCGTGTATTGATGGTGCCCGCCATGGGTAACACTCCATGTAGCAGCCATCACCTAGCTTAAGACGCCCATCCTGCCCTCACTGGGTTCAGGCAGGAGCCCCAGAACCCCATCACCACTATGCATTGGTCATTCCTGACCTAAGACTGCAGTCCCTTCCTTGGGACTGCCACTGAGATTCCATGCACTGGCTAGGCCTCTGTGTCTCACCATCTTCCTGGCCTCAGAAGGGATTTTCCTTGAAACTAGACAGTTGAGCAGGAGACGGTGGATGGGTAGGGAGCAGAAGCCCAGGCAGCGAGGATGGGAAAAGAGCCAGAGGAGGGGAGGCAAACACTGCAGGGAAGCCAAGTTCCCGGTGCCCAGGGCTGGGTCACACGTGCTCCTGGCTGCTCCTGGCCTCTGCTAAAGCTATACGTGGTGAAGAGCCTCGTGTCCTGGAGCTGCACCTCCTCCCTACCACAGGGCATCTGGTTACCAGCTGCCTGCTGCCCTGAGTACCAGGGAAGGAGAAGACCTCCCTGGGGAAGCTGCCGACCCTGGGTGGGCTTAGCGGATGCACGCCAGAAGCCAGGCTCGGCCTGCAGCTCTCCCCCACAGGCTTCTGGGGCCGACCCTCACAGCTAGTTGTTGCTGAAGTTGTTAGGGTCACAGCCGGCACTGGCACCTGTAACAGACTATGTTATTGGCCACTGTCCTCGATAGGTCAGTTTAAGAAACAGATAAAACATAGAAAGGCAGTTTATTCAATGTGGCCACGTTGGGAAGAGAGACAAATAATAAGGTTGTGACCTCCAAGCCTATCTTTGGGGTTCTGACAAGAGCTTTAGGTTAAATAGAGGGCCAGGGCTATGTATGCATAACAACTCAGGAATCCTGGTCAAGATGTGGTGGTCAAGGTGTCATCCTGCCCAGCACTGACCCATCGTTGTGTCTGGTCCTGGTTCCTGGTTTGTCCTGGATGGTATGACAAGTTGTCACAACTGTGAAATCTCTTCTGGTAGACAAGCTCTCCCTTTGACTAGCACTGGGCTCCCAGCCTTTCTTCCTCCCAGTCTGAGATACCTGGGGGAAATTCCATTGTCTCAATAGTTTAATCTCCAAGAGGAGGGGGCACAAGCATCTCTTTAGAATACCTTTATCCCCATAAGGATGGTTATAAGATCTGCTGAGTTGGGTTTGGGCGGGACGTGGGAGGATCTGGAAGGCTTAGGGTGGCTGTGGGGCTCCTGAGTCTTGTGGCATTCAGTGTTTCTCCCTCCCCTACCCTAGAGCCCCATGAAAATCCATCTATGAGAACAAGGTGTGGGTTCCATAGATCCTGGGCAGCTGTGGGTACTGGACTGAGGCAATGCTGTGGAGACCAGAAGAGGGCATTGGGTCCCCTGGAACTGGAGGTTGTGAGCTGCCATGTGGGTGCTGGGAACCAAACCAGGTCCTCTGGAAGAGCAGCCAGTGCTCCTAACCACTGAGCCACCTGTCCAGCCCCTTATCCTTTAGTCTTTATGCTTGTACCTAGTGCACCTCTGATGATACCCAATCATGACTGATCCCAGACAGCCCCTAGAGGATGGTTAGAGAGCATTCCACCCTTCCTCCTGCCAGTACAGATCGTCAGGGCCCCTTGTAACCTAGTGCTCACATTGGCTTCCCTAATTACGTCATCATCATCATCATCATCATCAACAGGTTCTCCCTGTTTCTGGGGCTGACCTGGAAGTCAATATGTACCCCAAGCTGGCCTTGAACCCCACCCCACTCAATCCTCCTTTTGGCTTCCCGAGTGCTGGGATTCTAGGCCCTTGCCATCATGCCTGGTTATGCAAACCCCTCGTGGGACGTTGGGGAGCAGAGTGGAATCCTTGTATCCCCGCCCTCACGTCTCTCCTGCAGAGCTTAGCAAGATGTCTTCCCTCCACTCTGCAAAGCAAAGATCTTAAAAATGCATTTGAGGGGCTGCGGTGCCCAAGCCTGTCATGTCTGAAGATATGTGGGGCGTGGGGTATGTTCTTGGTGACTCTGTGCCTGAACCCAAAGGAGGTAAACTCCAGGGAAGGAGCTACGGTGCTAGCAAGCTGACACCTCTGTCTTTGAACATTGCATCGAGGAGATCAGTGATGTGTCCTGGTGCCCATGCTGTGCCTGGCATGCTGTAGGCATTCAGTGGTCCTCTACTGAGCAAGTGATGGACAGTTCCCTCAGAGCCAAGGGCGGCTGCTGGTGTTGCAGTTGTCACTAAGCAAATTAATCAGGTGGGCACTCCAAACCCAATTCCAATGTGTGGGAGCTGCTGATGCCCAAGGGAAAGACCCCCAGCACCCAGCCCACTGGCCCTACACTTCAGGCACTTATAAATAGTCATTGAACAAATAAAAGAATGTGAAGCTTCAGCATTGGGCTGCTGCAGATCCCAATGACTTCACATGAACCATAAGCTTACCACAGGCCCCCCCACCCATCTACTTTCCTACGCATAGTCGAGTTCCCTGGAATAAACAAAAGGCTCCCTTAGTCCCCAGGGTGGGGCTTATTTGTCATTTTCTAAGTGGAAAATAGTGTGTACTTACTGAGAAGAAAATTATGGGATTGTTATAGAGAGAAACAAAGAAACCCAGAGAACCCAAAATAAGAAAATGTTAGACAGTAGTGTTTTCAGCACCCGAGGTAACTGCCTTACCGCTGTGAGCGGGAGGGAAGGGTGGGCTTCACGGTTGTTAGGCATGAGGATCTGGGGATGCACACACTTCCAACCTGTGTTCTCTCTCCTCGTGGTTCTAGAAACATCTATGTCAATAAATATTCACCTGTTTGCACTAATTGCTGCTGCAGGTGGATCTGTCCTCCCCACCAGCTCCTCCGTACTTTCCTCCCTCCTCTTCCTTCTCCTTCAGTCAGAACTGGTGTTTTCTGGTCTGCAGAACCACAATCACTCCCTACGTCTGAGTTCACCTCTAATCAACAACCTTGGAGTTGGAGGCCCATCCTACTGATAACTGTCATTTATCGAATCTGTCTTCCTGCGGGGGGGGGGCGGTCTCTGTGATCAGTAACTTTGGCCAAGGTGGTGTGGGGTTGGACTGTCTTGGAAGCAGGGGCTTTCTGAGTACAGAAAAGAGGAGCATTTAGGAAAGGCTACTGTTCTGGCGACACTAATGGCACCGGGTCCCTTGCCCAGATGCTGCGTTAGGGATGATCTGAACACTTGATAATGCACGATGGTTTTGCACCTGGATCGACTGAAAGGGGAGAGCAGAACTCATAGTTCAGTGAGGGTGACTCCAAGTCACACCAGATGTCAGAGGGCGCAGGATGGAAACCAGCTACCATCTCATAGTCCTTGGGGACTAGACTACGGTACTACTAGTAATCGAAGGTCAGCTTCACACTGGATGCTGGGGGAGGCACAGCCACAGCAGATGGGGATCCAGGAAGCCGGCTTGGGGAGGAGACATCAGACTGGCTCTGAAGACACATGGTTTGGGAGGTGGGATCCGGACAGGGGACAGGTCTAGATGTGCTTATGCTAGGGACCTAAAGAAGCTGCAGGTAGCTGAGTGAAGGGGGTGCGTGGGGTGGAGGATGATGTGGAGGCCCATATTTAAAGTTTCCTTATTGTCTCCAGACACCCTTGAAATCCAGAGTGGTGCTCTGGATTTGCACTTTAAAAAAAATATTTTACTTATTATTTTTATTTTATGTGTACAAGTATATTGCCTGCATGTATGTGAGTGCACCCGTGTTGTGCAATGCTGAGGAGGTCAGAACAAGGCGTCGGATGCCCCTGGAACTGGAGTTAAGGATGGTTCATAGCCGCCATGTGGATGCTGGGAATTGAACCCGGGTCCTCTGCAAGAGCAGTCAGTGCTCTTAACTGCTGAGCCACCTCTCCAGCCCCCTGGATTTGCACTTTTAAGCTGCCTCTGGGAATTGGTGAAAGACAGCTGGGAGGCAGGGAGACCCTGGACCAGCTGAGAAAGACTCAATGCAGGAGGGTAGAGAAGAGGAGAGACCGTTGTGGGGATTAGTGATGGGTTAGATGCGGCAGAGGCATGGAAAGGGGGGGGGGTCTTAGCAGATCCATACTTGTACCCTGGTGGACAGTGCCAGATACAGGAGAAGATGGTGAGAATAGGATTAGAAAGGATGAGTTAATTCAGGCATGGGAGGAGGGATGAGTTAGCCGAGGCAGGGCAAACAGTTGGAGACTGGAGTGCAGAGTCTAGATGGTACGTTCAGCCTTAGTAGAAAGGTCCAGCCAGCTGGACTGCCCAGAACTGTGGTCAGTAGTCTCCCGAGCACCTTCTATGTGACTCTCGCCATGGGAACTGAAGTTTTATTGTGTTTAGTCTTAGCTAATTGAAACAGCTCTGTGTGGCTGGTGTGTTGGAGAGCACAGGCCTGGGGCTCAGTGTCATGTAGGGGTGGGGCTGAGGCTGGGGCAGTGTCAATGGAAGGCAGGATGGGCAGGAAGGGTTTAGAGTAAGGGGAGCTGAGGATGCAGCCCTGGAAAGCTGCTGTCTTCTGGGAGAGATCAAGAAGGGTAAATAGTAGGTGGGTGTAGCAACACAGGCCTTTAATCCCAGCACTTGGGAGGCAGAAGCAGGTGGAGCTCTGTGAGTTTGAGGTCAGTCTGTTCTACATAGTGAGTTCCAGGCCAACTAGGGCTACAGGGAAACCAAAGAAAGAATAAACCCACAAGTGTGGCAGTGCACAGCCATGGAAGCTTAGCATCAGGGAGGCAGAGGCAGGAAGAGGGTGAATTTAAGGCCAGGATAGACTATATAAGAAGTTCAAGGCTACCCTGGATTACATCATGAGGGCCTGTCTTTTTTTTTTTGATTTTTTAGTTTGTTTTTATAAGGAAGGATAAATGCAATGGCCAGATTCTGTGGTGGCCCAAACAAGCAGGTGTTTTAAAGACTTATTATTAATTTTATTTATGTGTATGTGTCTAGGAGAGTGTATGCCACATATGTGTCCATGCCTGTGGTGTCCAGAAGAGCATGTCAGATCCCTTGGAGCTAGAGTTACAGGAGGTTGTGAGCTGCCGGATGTGGGCGCTGGGAACCCAATTTGGGTCTTCTGAAAGAGCAGGAAGTGATCTTAACTGCTGAGCCATCTCTCTAGCCCCAGCTAGTAGGTTCTGTAAAGCACTCACCTGGGCATGATCTGTCCTGCTTGTAATACCAGCGCTCAGGAGGCTGTGGCAGGAGAATCAGCATGAGATGGAGGCTAGGTCAGCCTGGGCCACAGAGCCACAGAATGGAAGCCCTGTCTCAAAAATGAAGGAAGGAAGGAAGGAAGGAAGGAAGGAAGGAAGGAAGGAAGGAAGGAAGGGAGGGAGGGAGGGAGGGAGGGAGGCCCCAGGCTGGAGCAGGTAGCATCAAGGACTGAGTGCCTAGGTGGAGGACAGAGTTCCGTCTTGCTGAGCATCCTCAGGCCGTGCCTGTGAAGTGCTGGGGGATGTCCAGGCTCAGGGAAACTAGACAAAGGCGAGTTTGTGCTGCCTGCAGAGGGCTGGACATGGTGGAACCCGGGCACAGAATTTCCAGGTTCTTTCCTCCCTGGGTTTTGGGAGCAGTCAGCCCCCAGGGCAGCATGCTGCTGGTGCCAGAGACGTGGGCAGTGGGCCAGGCCACCTGCAGAGTGGGGTCCTTTTCTCTCACACAGTTCCTAAAGCAGGGTGAGCCTGTGGCCTGAGGCGTCCCAGCTGGGAGGTGACCTAAGGACAGCTGCTGTGCTCAAGGAAATCTTTGTTTCCCGGGGATGCATGGAGCCCTGCAGGGCTGGCCAGGTGCCCTGAGGCCTGGCAGCCACATGGCAGGGCCTGGGAAGACTGAGTCTCTGTCTCTGCTCCAGGTGACTCTGCGTGACCAAGGTGCAGTGGTCCTGGGAGAGGAGTTCCTGGTCTCTCTTCTCTCAGGTTCTCCCCAAACTGGACTTCACTTCTACCCAGGGAAAGGGAATTCTTTGCTTACAAGCTATTGAGTTGTCCCCGAGGAATCCATCTTCTTCATCCCCTGGACTTGGGCCTTGGAGGGAACCAAGGAAGCCCCCAAAACTTAAAAAAACTAAACCCTCCTCCAAGATAGGGACAGCTCTAGGAAAGGGAAGGTGGGCAATTTCAGGAGAGCTGGGCCCTGGGACACATAACCCCCAGGGAGGCAGGCTCATCCCCACTCCTTTGTTGTTTACCCTAAGCAGATGGGAGAAAAGGTAGAGCCACAGACCAGCTGGGACTGCCCAGTCACAGCAGAGAACTCACATACCGAAGGGGCTTTTGGATGATGTGAACAAGGGTCGTTGGTGAACCAGAAGTCACCCTATCTCCCTCTTGACCACCCCAAGTTTGGGAGATGGACAGTTGACTGAATGACCTCACAGGGAAGGAAGAGGCTGGGACCTATGACATATGTCAGGAAATCCTGATCGCCACTAGGGTCTGAGGGCCACCTAGGTGTGACACTTACTCTTCCTGGCACCAGATGTCCGAATCCTGCAGTCATGAAGTGCTCTAAGCTTCTCAAGGTTGAATTCTCGCTGCATCAAGGCAGAAGGTGAGCAGTCCTACCTGGGCTCCTGTGGTGATTGGGAAGATGTTGGGAGGTAAAGGTGTGAGAAGAGCAGCGTTGGTGCCGGGGTGGTGATGCTGAACTCAATGCGTCCTCCAGCCGAAAGCCACCAGTTCTGTCTTCCATCAGGCTTCCTGAGAGAAGTGTTTGAAACTTTGGGGTGATGTTTGAGCTCCCGCAGAGCCAGATGAAGATGATTGCCAGGGTCTGGGAAGCAGCCAGAGGCCCCCGAGAACCTATGATGGGCCATGGCAGAAAGAAGACCTGACCTTTGGGGACTGTGAAGGAGGTTGGTGGTAGATTAGCTGTGCCGGATGCGAGAGAAAGGTCTAAATGACTCCCAGGTTCCTGGCCTGCTTTTGTTCATAGCTCCTGCTTCCTCCCGCACTGGCCTCATTTTAATCTAGAACAGAATTGCCCGATGGAACTAATTGCCATGCCTGACATGTTCTGGGCTGCACTTTCCAATATGGTGTCCACACTGCCATGCACGCAGTTGTTCAGAGCTTAGGATATGGTGGCATGACTGGGGGACAGAACTTTGAATTTTATTATGTTTTTGGTGGTGGTGGGATGCTCAGACTGGGGAGATAACTCAGTTGGTAATATAAACATGAGGACATGGCTTCCACCTCCAGAATCCACACAAAAAAATGCTAGATACAGTGGCATGCACTTGTAATCCCAGAGCCGAGGAGGCAGGGGCAGACTTCTTGGAGCTACTTGGTGAGTTCCACGCCAGTGAGAGACCCTGTTTCCCCTCCCCCGACCCATAAAAAGGTGTCAGGCAACTGAGAAACAACACCTGAGGTTGTCATCTAATTTCCACACACATATGCATACATGAACACGCATACACACACATACGTGTATGTGTGTGTGTGTGTGTGTGTGCAAAAACCCTTGAGCTCCTCCTGCCTCAGCCTACTACATACTGGGTTTACAGGTATCCACCACTAGTTCTTGAATTTTATTTTATCGATTTCAATACCCACAAGTGGTTAGTGAGTACTGCACTCCACACCAGTCACTGGGTCTTGAGCCATCATCAAGTCTATGTCTGTTTCTCTCCCTGGACTGTAATACAGTTGAGATCAGGGACTACATTTAATTTATGGTTGAATCACTTCCTCCCAGCTCTTGCACAATGCCAGGCAAATCTCGGGTGCTCGGTAAAGCTATGCTCTTGTTAAACTGCCAGCTGAGAGGGCGGCTCCAACTCGCCTTCCAAGGCTCCTTGCAATTCGAAGAGATTACAGGCTTCTCGCCTCTCTGAACAGCTGCTTACCCGATGAGGATTAAGGGAAAAAAAGTGTTTACAAAATGCTTTTATTAAAAGGCGCTGGACTGGGTGGGGCATCATAGCCAAACCCACACGGGCAGCCTCCATCTCCAGGAGGTCATCCAGATACAGGCAGGCACTACCGTGTGCACTCAGGACCCGAAACAATAGAACTGGCTTTAAACAAACATAAGGAAACTTGAACTTGTAGATGAATATTGTTTCCGTAAAGGACCCACTGCACCAGGTCTGGGAAGGGACAAAAATTCCCAGTAAGGAAGTGCTCTCAGATGTCCCACCTCCCTCCTGGTCCTGTAAGCCTCCTCTGCCCTTCTCCTACAAAGGGGGCTCCTTCTTGCTAGGGTGTGGTGGGAGTAAATGGGCGGGCTGAGGGAGCTGGAAAGCTGATACAATGCAGATCCTGAGGGAAGTGTTGGGAGAAATAAGAGAATGGAGCACACACACACACATACGTGTAAGTGTGTGTGTGTGTGTATGTGTGTGTGTGTGCAAAAACCCTTGAGCTCCTCCTGCCTCAGCCTACTACATACACACACATACGTGTATGTGTGTGTGTGTGTGTGTGTGCAAAAACCCTTGAGCTCCTCCTGCCTCAGCCTACTACATACTGGGTTTACAGGTATCCACCACTAGTTCTTGAATTTTATTTTATCGATTTCAATACCCACAAGTGGTTAGTGAGTACTGCACTCCACACCAGTCACTGGGTCTTGAGCCATCATCAAGTCTATGTCTGTTTCTCTCCCTGGACTGTAATACAGTTGAGATCAGGGACTACATTTAATTTATGGTTGAATCACTTCCTCCCAGCTCTTGCACAATGCCAGGCAAATCTCGGGTGCTCGGTAAAGCTATGCTCTTGTTAAACTGCCAGCTGAGAGGGCGGCTCCAACTCGCCTTCCAAGGCTCCTTGCAATTCGAAGAGATTACAGGCTTCTCGCCTCTCTGAACCTTTTCTAGGCTGGAGAGAGGCATACTGGCATTGGACGGGGCCACAGCGTGGTGTCCCGACTGGTAGAAATTTTATGCCTGAGGGGATAGACATAGGGCAGGGTTGGGAATCTTTGGTTGTCACAAATTGAGGGAAGATTTGAAGAACATTTAGGGGTAGAGAAGAGGATCCTGCTGAGCACCCTCTAATGCACAGCCCAGGGCCCCAAACCAGGGAAACCGTCCAGTGTCAAATGTCACTAAGTCAAGACTGAGAACCCATGGAGTATAGTGGCCAAAGGTAGCTTTGAACCTACATTTTTCACACGTCCCAACACTTCAGATCCAAAGGAAAACAAGTCTAAACCTTGTGTGGTAGTGCGCACCTGTAATGCCGGCACTTGGGGACCTCACACAGGAGACTCAAGAGTGTGAGGCCAATCTAGGCCACATAAGTGAGGAAAACAAACAAACAAACAAAAAAAGGTTTAAAGAAAGAAAAACTTCCTTTTAACCGATGCAAGCTTAACACTTAAAAGAGAAAAAATAATTATGAAGCCACCAAGGGAAAACAGGAAATACAGAAATAGAGAAATAAACAGAATTAGGGATCTTACTTGACAAATATTTGTTGAGCACCAGGATGCTGCAGGACCCTTGGCTGGTCCAGGCTGGGCAAGGGACATCTAGGCCTGATGGGAAGACTTCACGGGTCAAGCAAAAGTCTACCACAGCCTGCGACAACTTGAGAGATGAAACTACCAAGGACGAGGGTTTTTCTAGGTCGAGGGCTTGGGAGACTTCTGGAAGAACAAGAGGGATGAACCTGTTCAAAATCCATTTTCTAGACTGGAGAGAGGCATACCGGCATTGGACGGGGCCACAGCGTGGTGTCCCGACTGGTAGAAATTTTATCCCTGAGGGGATAGACATAGGGCAGGGTTGGGAATCTTTGGTTGTCACAAATTGAGGGAAGATTTGAAGAACATTTAGGGGTAGAGAAGAGGATCCTGCTGAGCACCCTCTAATGCACAGCCCAGGGCCCCAAACCAGGGAAACCGTCCAGTGTCAAATGTCACTAAGTCAAGACTGAGAACCCATGGAGTATAGTGGCCAAAGGTAGCTTTGAACCTACATTTTTCACACGTCCCAACACTTCAGATCCAAAGGAAAACAAGTCTAAACCTTGTGTGGTAGTGCGCACCTGTAATGCCGGCACTTGGGGACCTCACACAGGAGACTCAAGAGTGTGAGGCCAATCTAGGCCACATAAGTGAGGAAAACAAACAAACAAACAAAAAAAGGTTTAAAGAAAGAAAAACTTCCTTTTAACCGATGCAAGCTTAACACTTAAAAGAGAAAAAATAATTATGAAGCCACCAAGGGAAAACAGGAAATACAGAAATAGAGAAATAAACAGAATTAGGGATCTTACTTGACAAATATTTGTTGAGCACCAGGATGCTGCAGGACCCTTGGCTGGTCCAGGCTGGGCAAGGGACATCTAGGCCTGATGGGAAGACTTCACGGGTCAAGCAAAAGTCTACCACAGCCTGCGACAACTTGAGAGATGAAACTACCAAGGACGAGGGTTTTTCTAGGTCGAGGGCTTGGGAGACTTCTGGAAGAACAAGAGG